CTGCACGCCACCCGGCTCAGTCCCGATGGGACGGAGGAGTCGAGGCAGAAGAGGGGCGAGGGAGGGGAAGGGAGCGGAGGAGAAAAGAGGGGGGGAGCGGGGGAGGGTGGGAGAGGGATGGGCGCGGTGGACGGAAAAGGGGGGGGAGAGGGGGACGCAAAGGAAAGATCGGGGGGAGGGGGGGGGGGAGCGTGTGGAGGTCAACAACCTCCCTCTTCCTGCCAGCACATCCTCATCATCCTCATAGTAGTAACCACCACCACCATCATCGGCGTCGGCAGCTTCAGCATCAGCACCATGGATCTGGTTACGAAGATAAACAGCAATCTTGCCAACTACAGCATCCCCATCAGTATCGCAGTTACCATCGTCAGCATCAACATCGTCACCATCATCACCAGTATCATCGTCATCATAAGCATCATCAGCATCATCATCATCAGCATCATCAGCATCCCCATCATCATCAGCATCGTCAACACCACCATCATCATCATCAGCAGCATCAGATTCAGCATCATCGCCATCAGCAGCAGCAGGCACACCATCATCAGCAGCAGCAACGTCAGCATGATCGCGACTGCCATCGCCATCATCACCGTCGTTATCATCCTCACCACCACTCAGCAGAATACGCACCATCATCACCACCATCACCAGCATCATCAGCATCACCATTATCAGCCTAATCAGCATCATCATGATTATCAGCACCATCGTCGCCGTCGTCGCCACAAGTGCCATCAACGTTCATCGTATCAACCTTATCATTTTGTGATCATCGTCGTCATCCTCTTCACCAGCACCAACACCATCATCAACAAATCAAGCAAACAAGCAATCAATCAACCATCACCATCGACAGCATCATCAGCAGTATCAGCAACATCCTTTACAATGTGGTAGTAATCGGCATCGTCATCATCATCACCATCATCATCAGCATCATCAGCATCACCATCATCATCATCAACACAATCATCGCCATCGGCATCGTCACTGTCACGCTCCTCCTCCGTCGCACCAGCATACCATCATAAGAATCAGCATGGTAGAATAGCATGTGCATCATAATCACCCGCCTCGAAGTCACGATCGAAATAATCGAAAAATTGTCACTGTCGCCAGCATTCATATATGCACAAAAAAACATGATCACAACCACCGTCGTCACAAACGGCGCCAGGGTCACCATCATCAGCAGCATCAGCATCGCCAGCATAATCATGATCACCAGCATCAGCATCGTCATAATCACCAGTATCATCATCATCATCATCATCATCATCATCATCTTCATCATCATCATCATCATCATCATCACCAACATCATCAAGATCATCCAAATCAGCAGGAGCATCATCAGCTTCATCAGCATCGTAACTGTCCTTACCATCACCACCGTCGCCTTCATCACCACCACACTCAGCATCATCATCATCACCACCATCGTCATCATAACCATCATCATCATCAGCAGCAGCAGCATCATCAGCTTCATCAGCATCGTAACTGACCTTACCATCACCACCGTCGCCTTCATCACCACCACACTCAGCATCATCATCATCACCACCATCGTCATCCTAACCATCATCATCATTATCATCATCATCATCATCATCATCATCAGCAGCAGCATTATCCTATCCATTATTGCCACCACCGCCGCCGTTGCCATCTTCATCATCAGCAGCATCACGATCGTTGTCAACATCATCATCAGTAGCATCAGCCTGAGCATCAGCATCAGCATCATCATCATCACCGTCAGCATCATCATCGTCATCAGTTACAGCATCAGGAACAACAATATCATCAGAGTCGTCAGCAGCGGCACCCTCATCATGTTCATTATCACCATTAGCACACTCGTCAGCCTTCGCAGCAGCATCATCAACATCTTCGGAATCCCCCCCCATCTCTCCATATTCCTCCTCCTCCTCATGCCTCCTCCTCCGCCGTCCGTATCGATTTTGGCTCAAGCCATTGTGGGTCAAGCTCTAGTATTCCAGTGTGAACAAAGTGAATACCGCTAGTCCGCGGCCAGCTATCATCCATTTCAGGCCACCTCAGTTGAGATGCGCGCTGCTGAGGGCAAGCCTCACTCTCCCGCGTGTACTCCCAATTTCGGATGACAGGCGATGCCAGCACCAAGACCGGTCAACACGCTCGGCGTCGAGCGGCTGCAGTGGACCTAGTGTTGCAAGTGGTGCGTTCACCCCGTCACGGAGGCGGCTCGGTGGAACAGGGGCGGCAACGTCAGCTGTCAGAAGTGTGGGGTCGCCAAGGCAGCCGCATTCAAAGGCCCATGGGCCAAGCAAATGGAATATGGTGAGGACTCGTCAGGTGGAGGTGCAAAGGCTCCGCCGTGGCAGTTGGGTGAGTGGGCCGAGTTGGAGAATCAGTTTGAGCTCACGCAAGAGCAGGACCAGCCGAAGGACAGCTATCCTGTCCTGGGGTGCGGGTACTGGCGGGCGGAGTGGGGGCGGACGGTATGGCCAAGCCTCGTCTGTGCCAGGTCTCACCAGGTGCAGGTGGTCCATTGTGGAGAGGGGCCCCTCTGGAATACCAATGCGTGCTATTGACAGGGCGTTGCCAGGCCAGGTTCAGACGGTTCCGCGCTCAGAACAGTTCGCAGCACTCAAGACCTTGGATGTTGCTGCCAAGCCTGCTCATATGATCCCGGACCACCTCGGTCTCGTGGGAGATGCACAAGCGCGGCTGTCCTCCGTGGGAGGGTCTCGGCCAAAGTATGCCAGCTAGCATCTGGAGGACAACGTTGACGCCCTATGACAATCAGGACCCCCTGGATTCGAGGTGGCCCCTGTTCATAGACAGTTCGAGGACAGTGGCGAATGTGATGCTCTTCGTTTTGGGGCAATGAGTGGGCAGATCTGGTCGGGAGGCTGAGGGGCACTGCCAAGCCGTTGCTAAGGTCTTGCATGACGTTCACTCTGCTAGCCTCAAAAGCGCCAAGGAGAATGCTGAGGTGTGCGCCTTGTTGGCTCAGTCTACTGCGAGATTGTCTGGAGAAGTGGATTCCAGGAGTGAAATCCCGCAGGTGCAGAAGACCACCAGAGGTAAGCCGCCCATTGAGCTCACTGATCACGAGTTTCCGTGTTGTGAAAGAGCTTTCCTGGCACAGGCGCAGGCGGTGCAACAGGTTCACTAGGACAGCTGATGCGTTCCGTGCGCTCAGATCCAGTCGCTGTGACAGGTCAGACCTGCGACACGGGCTGGGCGACAGCTTCTTCCGTTGCTCGTCCGAGGTCTCCTCCCCCCCTTGAGGCCGTGCAGGTCGCCCTGCAGGAGGCTGCCCGCCAGGACGGCCTCGTCGACGGAGATACTGCAGGCGCGCCCGACCCGTCGGCGAAGGCCGCCGACCGCGAGGAAGGGGGGGGGACGCAGGCAGGAGAAGCGAGAGTTAGAGGTCGAAGCTCGTCGAGCTTTCGGCCATGAGGCTGACAGCTTCGGCTCGGTCGTTCTCTGTTTGGCAGGCAGAAATGCCAAGCGCGGCAAAGACTGTAGGCAGCATGCTGCGAGCCCCAGCACGCGCGCGCTAATGAAGAGGTTCAGATCTCTCGAGCCATGCGTGCCCTTCAACCCCGCACAGGTCGCCCCTAAGGACCTGTGCAAGCGCACGCCACACAGCCTGCTCTGGTTTTCACTGTTACGGGGGGCGTCGTGGTGTGCTGGAACTGCGCGCTGCTGTTTAATCTTCTTCGCGGCAATGCGGCTTCTGGTTCCCTCTGCAGAAAGGCACTTGGTCACCAGGCACCCCTTCATCGCTCGGGACGTCCTCCTCCTCCTCCTCCTCCTCCTCCTCCTCCTCCTCCTCCTCCTCCTCCTCCTCCTTCCTCCTCCTCCTCCTCCTCCTCCTCCTCCTCCTCCTCCTCCTAGCCGTTATGGCTCAGGTTTGTGGCCTGAGCTTGCAAGCGCGTTCTTCAGAGCGGCTCGCGCTTGCGAGCCTTCCTTTCGTTCTTTCACGAAGGAGCCAGCGATCGCACATCGAGGCGGCGCAGGGCCCCCCAGCCCGATGTGCTGCCAGGTGCTCGCACCCCGTACTGGGGATGCGCGTGCGGATGCTGGGACTGGGACACTTGGGCGAGTCGTATCCAAGTGCAGGAGCTGCGGGCGGTCGGCCTCCGCGAAGGTTGTTCAGACTGCGCGCAAGGCTGCGGCGGCTGCCAAGAGCCCCTCGATCTCGCTCAAGGCCAAGGGTCTGGGCGCCTGGGCGAACGGACCCCCTGGCTTTGCAATGGCGGCAAGGCAGGCGAGGCTCATCCAGGAGCTGCGGGCCAACGTGGCGGAGTTCAGCGGCGAGCCAGCGCCGACGACCCCCCCGTGGCACCAGCAGCCTGCTGGGGCCAAAGGCAGTGGCAATGGGCAGGGCCACCCACGAGCAGGTGGCGGAGTTCCTCAAGCAGGAGGGTCTGGCGGACGCCCACGCTGCGGCCATGGCGGCAGCACAGGCCAAACCTTCTGCGCCGCCCAAGCCACCGACCACCATGTCGGCTTGGTGGAAGATGGAGAACCTCAAGAAGAAGATCCAGAAGGCAGAGGCCCGCAGCATCGAGGTCAGCGCGCAGCGAGATGCCCTCGACGAGGAGCTTGGCACCATCAAGCAGAGCATTGACCAGGCCAAGGCAGACCTTGTCGGCCCAAGGCGTGCTGGCGAAGCTCCAAGCAGGGGAGCACGAGAACCCGCTCAAGGTGCTCACTGCGGGGTTGGAGCCTTCAGTGCTGTCCACGCAGGCAGGCAAGGACGCCCTTGCAATCCTCGAAGGGCTCCAGCGCCAGGCGGCCGCGGAGGCGGCAGCGGCCAAGTTGGCAGCGGAGACTGACGACAGCCGCCCAGGCCCTCCTGGCGACCCTGCTGCTGATGGCCAGGCAGTGGACGGCCCACCAAACGCTAAGCGAGCACCAGGCGGTGCCCATGGACGAGTCCGACTTCCTGGAGACCGGCGTCCAGGAGCCCCTCTAGCGCGCCATGGACG